GGAATATTATACAGCCATCAAAATTGAAATCTTGCCATTTGCAACGACGTGGATAGAACTAGAGGGTATTACGCTAAGCGAAATAAGTCAGAGAAAGACAAGTATCATATGATCTCACTGATATGAGGAATTTGAGAAACAAGACAGAGGATCATAGGGGAAGGGAGGGAAAAAATGAAACGAGATGAAACCAGACAGGGAGAAAAACCATAAGAGACTCTTAATCTCAGGAAACAAACTGAGGGTTGCTGGAGGAGAGGGAGGTGGGAGGGATGGGGTGGCTGGGTGATGGACTTTGGGGAGGGCATGTGCTATGGTGAGCGCTGTGAATTGTGCAAGACTGTTGAATCACAGACCTGTACCCCTGAAACAAATAATACATTATATGTTAATTTAAAAAAAAAGAGAAAGTATTGCTTGTCTTCTCCAGCAGACTTAAATAATTGTATGCAAAATCCAACGATATAAACCAAACATCTCTCCACTATGGGTTGATTGGATTTTTATACTGTTATGGAATTATTGTTCATTTCAACAGGTGTGGAAATGATTGTTGTGGCTCCAGAGGGAACGGCTCTCAGTCATGGGAGATGCACACTGAAGTACGTAGGGTTTGGTCAGGAGTCGGCAAACTTAGGCTCCCAGGCCAGATCTGCCCTCTATTGTTTAAAATAAAGTCCTACGGGGGCACATGGGTGGCTCAGTTAAGAGTCTGCCTTTGGCTTAGGTCATGATCCCAGGGTCCTGGGATCCAGCCCCTGCTTCTCCTTCTCCCTCTGCCCTTCCCCATCCCGCTCATGCATTGCGCTCTCTCTCTCTCTTTCTCTCTGTCAAATGCATTTCAAAAATCTTTAAAAATTAAAATAAAGTCTTATTAAAAGATAGTCACACCCATTTGCTTACATACTATCTGAGGCCGCTTTTGTGTTGCAATGGCCTGGTGAGTAATTGTGACAGAGAGGGTGTGGCCGACAAAACCTAAAATATTAACTATCTGGACCTTTACAGAAAAGAGTTTGGTAAGCCCTGGGCTACAGTATATGGTATCTACAGCTTCCTTTCCAATTGCCTGGCAAAACAATTCAGCAGTAGCAACAGAAATATACATACGTATATATGTGTGCGTATATATCCAGAGCAGAGGAGGAAAGAGACAGTGCAAATGTGACAAGACATTAATAATTGGTGAATTTCAGGGGAGATTCTACAAGTCCTTTTTTCTTTCAATTTTGCTGCAAGTTTGAAATTACTTTAAAAAAAATGTTTGGAGAGTAAATATTGCTTCCCTTAAAAACTAAAGAGAATCTCCTAAATATATATATAGCTCAAGAGAAAATTAAATAAGATCAATAACAATATAAATATGTAACCAGCAATTGCATTAGGTTTTAAAGTAATAAGAACAATCTTATTCACAATCACAACAAAAAATATTAAACCTATGGTTAACAAGAGATGTGGAGCATTTAAGTAAAATAATAAATTTCACCAAAGTCCAAAAGATGGAAGCACAACATTATGTACAAGTTATTGTGAATGTTTGGGATTGGGTGGCCAGTGCATTTACAGGTGTTTAAAAACAAAAAAGGGCGCCTGGGTGGCTCAGATGTTAGGCGTCTGCCTTCGGCTCAGGTCATGATCCCAGGGTCCTAGGATCAAGTCCCGCATCAGGCTCCCTGCTCCTTGGGAGCCTGCTTCTCCCTCCGCTTCATGAATAAATAAATAAAATCTTTAAAAAAAAATAAAAAAATAAAAATAAAAACAAAAAAAACAAAAAATAACAACAACAACAAATCACTTTACCAAAGACAAAAAAAGCTTTGAGTAACCGGGAGAACATACCATACCCTGAACAAGCAGACTGAATGATTTAGTATTGGGAAAAATGTCTATCCTCCACAAATACATCTGTAACACTGATGTAATTCCAATTAAAATCACTGTGTGGTTTTGTTGTTGCTGTTTGGGGGAGGATAGTGACATAAAGATTCAAATGTATCTCGGGTAGGAAAAAAAAATGGGCAAAATCAGCCAAGGGCATTTTGAAAATGAAGAGCAATGATAGGTTCATACCTTAGCAGATGTTAAAACTCATTTTAAAAGCTACAGTCATTAAATGACCAAATCTGGCCCAGGAATAATCAAAGAAGAAAAAACCCACGAAGAGATCCAAAGATCTGTAAGAAGAATCGGGACAGCAGGTAGAATGAGAGGGGGAGAGGACAGGTTATATAATAAACGATGATGGAACGATGTGCCCACCATGTGGAAGGAAAAAAAGTCATAGCCCTATATCGTACCACACTCCAAAGTGCAGGAAAATTAAGTACAAAGAAATAAAATCATGAACAATAGAGAAAACAATGTAGATTAATAGTAGTACAAGCTTGTGGCGGCACAGATCTTTCTTAGCATGAGACAAATCATTTTTTAAAGTTTGATATAGTTGGCTAATAAAAATTTTAATCTTCTATACACCTGAAAGCACTATAACCAAAATTAAGAAAAAAAAACAAACTGCGGGGTACCTGGGTGGCTCAGACGGTTGAGTGTCTGACTCTTGATTTCGGCTCAGGTCATGATCTCAGGGTCCTGAGATGGAGCCCTGCACTGGGCTCTGCGCTGGGTGTGGAGCCTGTTTAAGATTCTCTCTCTCCCTCTCTCTGCCCCTCCCTCTGCTCTCTCTCTCTCAAAAAAAAAAAAAAAAAAGAATCCTCTGAGATAAATATTTGCAACATAAATGATCTTAAGGGGCCACTGTCCTCACTGTCTAATCATTATAGGAAAAAATATTATTAAAACGTTTAAATGTACAAATGCTGTGATATACAATTCATAAAATAATATAATTGTTGGAATTCAGCATGGTTATTATTTTCTTTTTTTCATTTATATGTATTTTCTGAGTTTTCTACCCCCCAAAAAAATGTATTATTCCTATAGAAAAAAATAAATTGCAAAATAGGGACCAGAAAAAAATTTTTCTTCAGGCAACCTAAGCTTCTTACCAGAGAGCAGTAAAAAAACTCCTTTACCAGCTCCAAACTTTCCCAGAATGTGTAGGTATGCAAGGTTCCCAACAACTCCCTTTCCAGGGCCAGAAAATGTGCATTTTTCATCTCCTTGAATCTTCCAAAAATCTCAAGTCGGGTGTTGTTATTACCCTAATATTATAAACAAGAAAGTGAAGGCTCAGAGAAGCTCAACAAGCTTCCCAAGGTCACACAGGACCAACCAGAAGAATTGGAACCTGATCCCAGGCTGGTCTGACCACAAACTCAGCACTTTCTGGGCCCCTTTTCAAGCCCCTTGGGTTGGGAGGCAGAAGGTCTGAGTTCTGGGCACCTCGGTGGCTCAGTTGGTTAAGTGATTGCCTTCGGCTCAGGTCATGATCCTGGAGTCCCGGGATCGAGTCCCGCATCGGGCTCCCTGCTCAGCAGGGAGTCTGCTTCTCCCTCTGACCCTCTTCCCTCTCGTGCTCTCTATCTCTCGTTCTCTCTCTCTCAAATAAATAAATAAAATCTTAAAAAAAAAAAAGGTCTGAGGTCTGATCCTGCCTCTGTCCCCTCCTACACGATGTCCTCAGCAAGTCTCTTCCTCTAACCCTTAGTTTTCTCATCTGTCCAATGAGAAGTGGATCGGCTCAAATGGGGTGTCACATTCCTCCCTCCTCAGACATTCAAGATTTCTGTTCTCATAAAGCACTCAGTACCAACCAATGGCCAAACCAGAGATGAAAGCCCGTAGCCTGGGAGCTAGCATTGGGGGCCGCAGACGGATGCCCCATGCGCTGGCTCACCTTGAACTCCTGACGGATGCGTTCCTCCAGGACCTTGGCAGCCTTCCGGTCCTCCATCTCCACTTTCCACTTCTCTGCCAGGATCCGGGCTTTCTCATTGGCCAGAGCATCCCGGAACTTCTTGGTGATTTCTGCCTCCTTCTGTCTCCTTGCAAGAGAACACCAGCAGGTATGAGCTCATGTAGGCACATAAAAACAGGATTTCAAATAAAAACCAGGAGCAATATTTCTTGGTCTATCAGAATGGAATATATCTAAGAGCAGCAAAACTCAATGCTGGCAAAGGTGGGGGCAGAAACAGTCACTGTCCTGTAGGGTAATGTAAATCGACCGAATTTTTCTGGAAGCCAGGAAAAAAAATAGACTCAGAAATCCTTTTTCTCGCTTAAGATCACAAAGGTGTAGGTAGAAGATGTTCATCAGAGGATTTTTATCACATAACAATTGGCAAACAACCTAAATGTCCATTAACAGGACCAATAAGTTGGGTTTCTCATGTAATAGGATACCATATAATAATCCTTGTGAATCTATATTAATCAATTTGTCTGAGAAAACTCAGAAAATACATATAAATGAAAAGAAGGTGTTGCCAAATGCTCACCGTGATTATCTTAGGTAGTGGGTGTTGAGTTGTTACAATTTTACAATTAAAATATTGTCATTAAAAGCTGGGTGGGAGGGAATGTTGGAGTCAACTTATATGGATTTCCAAGTTGGGCAAAAAAAAAAAAAAAAAAAGGTTAAAAGTTGTTTATGAAAGAAGGCTGACTCCAAATCTTACCGGGGGCTCAACTATCCACATTGTATGTGAAATGCAGCTAAAAGAGAAATGAGCAGACAACAGTGAATCCAAATTCCTTTATTGTCACAGGGACAACTCAGTGAGGAATAAAAGAAATGTATGTCATTATCTCAGTGAATCCAAACTATGTCCAGATGGAAAGGGTGTTATGCCCACCAGATTCGAAAACTGAGACCCCAGATCAGCTCTCTACTCACTGGTGAAGCCAGGATTTGAACCCACAAGATCTACCTGATGAAGAAGACTCTGAGGTTTTGGTCGCCTAATCTTAGCTGAGGTCAGCAGGGTCAGCCAGCTGCCTGGCACCTCCTCCCTCCCACCCACCACCTGTCGTCCTTCAGCTTGGACCCAGCCTAGGCTCTGTGTTCAGATCCCACCCAAGACCCATCTGCGCCTCTCACCAGAGCTCCTCAGCCTCCCTCTGTGCCTGCAGCCTCGCCCTCTGTGCAATCAGCTCCTCAGAGATCTCTTCGTAGGGCTTGTCACCAGGACCTTCTCCCATGATCCAGACCCAGACTTCACCATCTGCCCCCAGGAGCCACCGGATGTGCTTGTCGCTCGCTGCCTCACAGCAGAAGGAGGAACAAGGAAGGAAGAAGAAACAGGTCTGAGTTCTAATTAGTCCAGGATGGGCTAGGTTGGCCAATGGTGCACCACGTTGTCTCTACAGAACGTTGTCATCTACAAAAAGCATTCCAGAGAGATAGCCTGAGTGCAGGTCCACCTCCACCTCCCCTCCCACTCCCTCCAGGGAGCAACGCAGCTGCCACGTCAGCCCGTTGAAGCAGGTGCCCAAGGCTGGAATTGGTGTCGGCGGCTGAGCGCTGTGGAGATGGACCTTCAGCAAACAGGACAGCAGGAGAACAGTGCATCTGGCCTTCTCTTCCTCCCTCCTGTCCACTGGCTGGAAACAAGGAATTGGAGATAGTGTTCCAAGATACAGAGTCTAGGCCCCTGACCCGCATCTGCCTGTAACATGAGCAAGAAATAAACCTGTGCCGTATTAAGCCACTGAGATTGCTCGGTTTGCCTGTTGCAACAGATTCCATTGATTACCAGGACGAAAATGGAAATCTATGGGGCGACTGGCTGGCGCAGTCATTAAGTGTCTGCCTTCGGCTCAGGTCATGATCCCAGGGCCCTGGGATCGAGCCCCGCACCGGGCTCCCTGCTCAGCAGGAAGCCTGCTTCTCCCTCTCCCACTCCCCCTGCTTGTGTTCCCTGTCTCGCTGTGTCTCTCTCTGTCAAATAAATACATAAAATCTTTAAAAATGAGTAAATAAAAATAAAATAAAATGGAAATCTACTCCCAAAGCAGGGTAGTGCCAGGACAGAAATAGCAGCTGTGTGTCATTGCCTGAGCCATGAGGTGGCAGTCAGCTGCAGACTGAATGAACGGCTACGGATCCATGTTAATACAAGAGCAAAACAGCTGAGAAAATTGTCAGACGCTGTAACTGGAAAGGCAGACCCTCACGCCTTCCAGAACTGCCACTCTAAGGCAAGAGATTGGAAAACAGAACATTCCAATGCCTATTGTGTTCAGCAAGGTGTTAAGAGAAAAGAAATGAGTTCCAGGAAGAATTGAGTGCTTTGCAAGTAAAAATGAAAGGGAATGGAGAGAACACAGAAATCTGGGACTTTGTAGGACTGGAAAAAACCACCTCCTTCTAGGGCCCAAATTACAGGAGAGGGGATTTTTTTTTTTTTTTTTGAAGTTTGCATGATAGAGCCCAATAGAACTTCTAAGGTGAAGAAGTGACCTAAGGCACAGAACACCGTGGCGGTCATGAGAATGTGCTCCACCGACATCCAACTGCAGGGGGCAGAACCGAGCAAGCACTTCAGTTCCTACGCTCCTGTGTTTGCCCGCCACCATGCTTCCCAGAGTGGCTCCCAGCCTTTGACTCACCATCCGAAGAGCAGACTCTTCGGATGGGCAACGTCAATGACTCCTTGACTGCACAGCTTGGGCTGCATGGCTATCTAGAACACCTCCTCCCCCACCTCCCTCCCCCCTGCCCAGAACACCTCGGCCTCCCACCCTCCTTCGCTCAAGGTCAGATTTGTGTTGCAGTACAATGGCTCTCCCACACTTCTCCAGGGCTCTGCCCCTTTTCTCCCATAAGGAAAATTTTATTTCTTGAATAAAGCCCTTGTTTGTGTAACCCCATTCCTGTCTCTATTCCTCAGAGGAGTCAGGCTAACACAAGTGCATTAAGAGTGCAATCTCTCGTGTTATTTTTCAAAGAGCCTGAGATAGATAGATGCCCTTCGGTTGGAAGGAGAAATAGAGGCAGAGAGGTGCAGTCAACTTGCAAAATATGTCTAGAAAAGAAATTTTAGATGTGGTTACAGGGACATGGAAACAAACAGATCAGAAGCCTCCTAAGTTTTTGAGTCTGGACTAAAAAAAGCCTTTGATTGTTCGAGATGTCAGCCACCCTTGGATACCCAACCTCGATGAATGAACAGGAGGCAGGTTTCAAAGGCTGTACTGGTCAGGAGGGCGTGGTCCTCAACACTCACTTCAGATGAGGCTAAGGGGAATGATGAACAAAGAGAAGGCTCCTCAAGGGCACGGTCCTACCCTTACTGAAGGCTGTCCCTTCACTGCCAGGGCAGGAGAACTGCAGAGCCTGACCGGTGGGACTGCAGGAATGCTATCAGCTAGTGACTGAGTGGGGCTCACATTCTCCCCTTTTCCATAGTGGACATTCTCAACCCCCGCTCTACCACTGTGTAGTATGTTGTAAAGGTGGGGGGTGTTTAGATGACATGCCTTTTCAAGCCACATCCAGACATTAGAGAGATCAATGCAGAACCCATGCAGACTGTGGACTTTGGGCTGGAGGCAGTGACTGCATGGGACTTGAGGGTATCCCGCTTAAGGAGGTCGTGAGTGCACTTATATGGAAGAGGAGAACATAATGTGGGAGGGACCAGAATGACAATCTGTGACCGCCACCATGCTGTCTGGCACCCCATTTCCCCTCCCTGAGCCCACCAGATGACGACTCTCCTCAGTTCCACGTGGCCATGTGAATGAATTCTAGACTATGGATGATGTCAGAGGAGGCTATTTATACCTTTTCAGGCTGTGACTGTTGCGGTTGGTGTGACTTTTCCATATTCTGTCCCTCACCCACCCATCTCATCCAAGATGGTGGGACTGCAAGGAAAAAGCAGCCTGATCCATGAGTCAGTGTTTGAAAGCCAGTGACACAGAAGAGCCACCCAATCCACATCAAGAAATAAACCTTCTTTATATTAATCCACTGAAATTTCAGGGCTTATCCATTGCCCAAAGCAGCATTAATTCCCTAATATAGGACGATACTGTTACTTTTTTGCATGGTAAAAGCAACACAGGCTTAGTTATGACTGGTAAAACACTATTAAGATTATAAAACTTCCAGAGTAATAGTGGGGGGAAATAAATGATAAGAGGTTTACCAATCTTGCAAAAATCTGTAAAAGGCAAGAGAAAACAAACACGATGCAGTTATTAGAGCAGACGATGTCGGTGCCCAGCCGCCACCCCTCCACCCCACCTTCCTCCCTTATGGGAAAACCCTGATCTGCCCAGGGTGTATAGAGATCTTGCAGCATCAGGAAAGGCAAGTTTCTATGCCAGCCTCAAAGGACAAGCAGAATTAGTGAGGGATCAATCTAGGAAAAACCTAAAGTCTCCATTTCTGACAAAGATGTAAGCAGAAGTCCAAATAAAGAGCTTTCCCCTCTGAACGGAAGGGGAAGACTCCTTAGGAAAAACCCCTGCATGCTTCCTCTTTTATTTCCTCCTTCCTCCTCCCTGAAATGAAGACATGAAGCCTGGAATTGCTGGAAGACTTTTGCCACCATGAGGAAGAAAGCCGCAACTAAGGGCAAGGAAGCAGAAAGAGAGAAGGAGGTGGGGCCCTGATGGTTTTCCTGAGCAGCTACACCAGTGTTACCCAAGCAGTAACCTCCAGTGGCCTCGCCGTTTGAGACAAATAACGACCTTCAAAGAATACAGTTGTATCATTATCAAATGAAATATGATAATATTAATTTGAAATGCTGATTTAATTAAGCAACTATTTGCCAGATATTCCATTATGTAAGGTCAAGCACATCCCTAACTGATTTAGATAACAAACACAAAATAACACCAAAGCCCTAAACCCTAAGTATATTCACTAACACAGAAACATGAACAGAATTAATTCCCCCATTAAAACTCTGAGGCTGTCAAATGTGATTAAAAATAAAATCTAGGGGCGCCTGGGTGGTACAGTCGGTTAAGCACTCGACTCTGGTTGTGATCTCAGGGTCATGAGATCAAGCCCCGCATCAGGCTCTATGCTCAGCATGGAGTCTGCTTAGGATTCTCTCTCCCTCTCCCTCTGCCCCTCCCCCCTTCTCTCTCTCAAACGAATAAATAAATCTTTAAAATAAATAAGTAAAACCTAACTGTGCATTATTTAAATAAAACATACATTTTTGCGGGTGCCTGGGTGGCTCAGTCAGTTGAGCATCTGACTCTTGATTTCAGTTCAGGTCATGATCTCAGGATCCTGGGATTAAGCCCGTCATCAGGCTTCCTGCTCAGCGGGGAGTCTGCTCCTCCCTCCCCCTCTGCTCCTCCCCCTTCTCGTGCTCTTGCACATGCACTCTCTCTCTTTCTAAAATAAATAAATAAATATTTTTTTAAAAAACATACTTTTTTTTTTACAAGATAAAGGTTAAAAGTAAAGAGCTAGGCAGCAGTGGACCATGAAAAGGTGAGCAAAAAGAAAGCAGGAGTGACAATGCAAGGACAAATGTGCTTAAAAAAAAAAAAGACAAAGAAGGGGTGCCTGGGTGGCTCAGTTGTTAAGTGTCTGCTTTTGGCTCAGGTCATGGTCCCAGGGTCCTGGGATGGAGCCCTGCGTCGGGCTCCCTGCTCCGCGGGAAGCCTGCTTCTCCCTCTCCCACTCCCCCTGCTTGTGTTCCTTCTCTCGCTGTGTTTCTCTCTGTCAAATAAATAAAATCTTAAAAAAAAAGAAGAAGAAGAATATTGTGTGATAATAAAAGATGCACCCCACAAAGAAAATATAAAAGTCATAAAACTTGATACAACATACAACACAGCAGACAACTGCATCAAAGAAAAACTCCTAATGATGCAAGGAGAATTTGAAAGTGTATCTATGGTGGGTAGTTTTATTATATTTATTTCAGAAGTTGGTGGATCATGTAGATTTTAAAAATTAATAATACAGAAGATTTGAATAATATGGTCAAAAAAATTTTATTTAACAATTACAGAACTTCATTCCTTAAGCTTTGAGATTGTACTTTTTTTCCTTTTGAGCTTACAATCGTGAGAAAAAAATGTATAGGCCATAATCTCTAATAATAATATAAAAATTAGAAATTGATGGGAAAAATAGCCATTTTTAAAAGCCATTAATAAATTAATAATTAAGAAAATATCTTCTAGTGGGCACCTGGGTGACTCAGTGGGTTAAGGGTCCG